CTAGTCAGGACTTGCTGTGGGGAAAGCTGATGCCTTCTCCCTGCCAGGTGAGAGCTAATGTCCAACTCAGCCCCCAGCAGTGGCAGGGCCTTGAGCGGTTACCTTCCCAGGTGCAGTGCCTATGTTTAGCTGTCTCGTTCCAGGAAGCCCAAGCCTGCCCTCATGTCTGTCCAAGTCTGACTCCAGGGCCCCATGCCTGGGTTCTATAAGCCCCCTCAGGAAAGACAGCTCAGATGTAGAAACGCAGAGAGAGGGACGGGCAGGGGATGGTGGGCTGGCTCCACTCACCCACGATCTCGTTCTCTTCCAGGTTGATGGTCTCCAGCGCTGGCAGGGTGGTGAGCTGCTCAGGGAAGTCGTGGAACTGGTTCCGGGACAGGTCGATGGCCTTGAGGTGCTGCAGGGCGCTGACCTCACTGGGGAGGCGGTGCAGAAAGTTCCCTTCCAGGTGGAGTTCTGCGTGTAGGCGAGGAAGAGAAAGGACAGGAGAGAGGGAGCAACCTAGAGACCACAGGGACTGCTGGCTGCCCCTGGAGGAGACAGCAGGAAACCCCAGGCTGCCAGGAGGGTCCCCACAGGGGCTGATTCCAGTGTATGCGAGAAAAGGCATAGCTCCTGCCACTGCCTGGGGCCTGCCACCCATCATCCAGCTGGGCTCCCTGCTTTGGTCTTGGAATGAAGGCTCCCCTAACAGAAGCCTGGGCCCAAAGGTCAGGATGCGCTGGCAACTCCCTCAGACAAGGCCTCACTCCAAGCCTTGACAGAACAGGTCAGCTTGGGCAGCCCATCTGAGGCACACCACACTTCAGCACCCTCCCTGCTCAAGCAGCCACCAGGGGTGGCTAAGCTCTCTGTGTGACATGACGCTGCTCCCTTGCCCAGCCTCAGGTGGCCAGATGAGTGTGGTTTCCTGCCCTCAGAGCATCTGATCTGAAAGCTGACCAGCAGCTGGGGGGATCCCTCTGTTGGGAATCTGGCCAGGGCAGTGCCAGGCATGGTGGAGGCTGCAGCTAAAATGCTGTGTTCCACAGAGAGAAGCTGGGAGGGAG